TGGAACATTTTGACCAATACCTCTCCATCTCCTGCTGCCCCTAGCACTTGGTAACCACGATTCTATTTTCTGTTTCTAGGAGTGTTAGTTTCAGGTATAACTAGTAGAAGCAGAGAATAGAATCGTGGTTACCAGGTGCTAGGGGCAGCAGGAGATGGAGAGGTATTGGTCAAAATGTTCCAAACGTCAGTTCTGCAGGAAGAGTAAGTGCTAGAGAGCTACTGTGAAACATGGTGCCTAGAGTTACAACACTGCCTTATATACTTAAACATTTCCTATGAGGGTAGATGCTAAGTGTTCTTACCAAAATCAATGATTAGGGCAAGAGGAAGCCTTTGGAAGTATGGATATATTTATGGCATTTACTGTAGTGATGGTTTCATTGGCTTATGTGTATCTCCAAACTCATCAAATTGCACACATTAAATATGTACAACTTTGTGTTTGTCAATTATGCCTCAATTAAGTATTTTTTTAAGCAAGCACCAAATGTATATACTTTCAATGGTGGAGCCAATTTAGGAAATGGTGTGGCAGTTTGTTAAAATGTTAAACACAGCTTTACCATATGACCCAGCAATTCCACTCTTAAGTATCTATCTATACAACAGACATGAAAATATATGACACATATGTCTACACAAAGACCTGTATGCAAATGTGCATAGCAGTATTATTTGTAATAACCAAAGAGTGGAAACAACGCAAATGTTCATCAACCAGCAACTGAATCAACAAATGGTGCTATATCTAGAAAGGAATGAATTGATGTTGGACGCAGCGGCTCAGGCCTATAATCCCCGTGCTTTGGGAGCTGAGGTGGGAGGATCGCTTGAACTCAGAAGTTTGAGACTAGCCTGCTCAACAGAGCAAGACTTGTCTCTACTAAAAATAAATTAAAAATGATGATGATAATGATAATAATAAACTAGCCAAGCATGGTGGCACACGTCTGTAGTCTCAGAGAAACTGAGGCAGGAGGATCACTTGAGGTTAGGAAATTGAGGCCACAGTGAGCTATGATGGCACCACTGCACTCCAGCCTGGGAAACAGAGTGAGGTTCTGTCTCAAAAATAGAGTTAATATGAATGAATCAGATATATTACACTGAGTGAAATAAACCAGTTTCAAAATACCACATATTGCATGATTTTGTGTTATGTAATTTCCAGAAAAGGCAAATATGTAGAGAGGGAAGTAGATGGGTGGTTACAGTGCTTGGGGTAGGGGTGGGGAGTGGCTGCTCATGATACGAGGCTTTTTTGGGGTGATGGAAATGTTTTAAAATGAGTTTGTGATGGTGGTACACGGCTCTAAAAACTTACTGGAAATGAGCCAATTGTATATTTAAAAGGAAATTCTGTGGCATATGAATTATACTTCAACGAAGTTATATACACATATAACCAAATATATATATATATAACCAAATATATATATATATAACGAAATATATATGTTTAACTAAATATATGTATATACACACCATACACACACACACACACACACACACACACATACATATATATATATATATCCAAACCATGTCACCAACCTCCCTTTCAACCTCCCTTTCTTTTTTTCTTCCGGGCTTGTGTTTGTTCGGTAGAGCCTGCTTAGAAAAGAGCACTGGGGGCTCTGTTCATGCAGACACATTCAGACATCTTTGATTCTGGAGGAATTCCCTCAAGTCAGATTTTCCTAGATAATATCACAGATGCCACATGACCAGTTGGGCTAATTTTGAAATGCATTTCAGAAGCATTAAAACCAAAAAACACTCTGAGGAAGAACCTCGGCTAGCAAGCCCCTCCCAGTTGCCTTCTGGAATTTGGCTTTTCATGAAACACCAATGTGTCTGTAGGTCTGTAGGTGTGGCAGGGATGGAATGTGAGGCGCACAACTGAACAAGTCACTAAACGTCAATGAACCAGCTCACTGCTGCTTCTGGAGAAAAGCCTGTGACATTTTCCAATGTAAAAACACTGGCTTTAACTGGTAGGCTGAATGCAGCTACTGGAGGAGCCTGAGGCTGTTCAGTAAGAACGAGGGGGCTCCACATGCATGGACAAGGGTGGAGGACCTCATTTGGCCACAACACGAAGTGCTGGAAAACAGCTCAATACACAGCATTCTTACAAACACATGCGTGATGTCTGTGCATGTGGGTGTGTGTTTACACAGGGAATGCCAAGCTGCCCACAGTAATTTTTTCTGAGAGAGGGGAAAGGAATTGGTTGAGGAAGGGGCAGGGCAGGGTCTTTTTCTTATTTAGCATGGACATTTCTGAATAGACTTTTAAAAATGAGCATGTATGAATGCGGTAAATAAAAGAACAGAGAGCAGGTATCATGGAGGGTGACCAAGTTGTCTGGTTATGTCCGGCACTCTTTAATGCCTTAAGAAATGGCACAGAGGTACTTCCCAGTGTGAGGGTGGAGAACATCACCTAGGTTGGCCCAAGTGCTTAGCACCACATTTTGCTTTAGACTCTTTGTCAGCCAGGCTGGAGTACAGTGGCACGATTGTGGCTCACTATAGCCTGAAACCCCTGGGCTCAAACAATCCTCCCACTTCAGCCTCCCAAGTAGCTTGAACTAAAGGCATGCACTATTATGCCTGGCCAAGTTTAATTTTTTTTTTTTTTTTTTTTTTTTGAGACACCGTCTCACTATGTTGCCCAAGCTGGTCTTGAACTCCGGGCCTCAAGGGAGCCTCCCACCTGGGCTTCATAAAGTGCCGGGATTACAATTGTTAGCTACCGCACCTGGCCAGTGCCACATTTTGGTACACCAGCCACACAGTAATGGGCCTGGTCTGTGCAGCTGCTCATTGGACATTGGAGGTTAATCAGGACCCATCTAGCTAATGAAACACTTCATTGCACTTGCTGCCCTCTGGCTTATAAACATTTTCCATCCTAGCTAAGACTGGATTAATACAATGGGAAACAAGGTGACAGTTTATCCTGGAAAGACACACAATATTAAAAATCCACATGATGGGCTAAGACTGCCAGATTGCTTTAAAAGGTAGATTTATTCCTTTCATCCTGAAAGGAGTTGTGCCACAATCACTAGTGCCAGCCCTTCCATTTGTAACCTCTCCTTCTTTTTTAGAAAACTACAGTAGTTTTAAGATGCTTTTGCCCCAGGCAAAAGCCTCTTCATCAACAACTCTCTGTATTCCCCATATGCCCTTTCTATGGTATATACATCAAGAGAAAGTTACTGGACGGCTTCTCTGGTTTGTCTGTGTTCCAGAGTCTAATGGGGCTGGCTAAAGGTGGCACATCCCATCTCCTGGTGGATATGAAATATTTTCCATCCTGAAAGTTCCGATTGGCTTGGAACAGAGCTCAGAAGGCTACAGTCCCTGAAGCCAAATCTAGCTCCAGCCTGTTTTTGGATGGCCTGTGAGCTAAGCATGGTTTTTACATTCTAAATATTAAAAAGAAAATCAAAAGAAGAATAAATATTTTATGACATTTGTGAAAATTATATGAAATTCCATTTTCAGTGTCCATAGATGAAGTTTTATGAGAACACAGCCACACTCGTTCTTTATGCATTCATGCCCCAAGAGCAGATTCGGCATTTGCGATGCAGACTGTATGAGCTACAGAGCCTAAGTATCTCTTACCTGGACCTTTCCCGAAAAATATGTTCACCTTGGCCTGGTGGAGTAACATTGGCATCAAAGTCTTTGACAGTGCTCACTTAGCAGGAGTTCAAATTGAAGTTCTCCTTGAAGATTCCTGTAAATGGGCAATTAGTAGAGGGAGCCAGCCTCTAGCCATCTGGGAGGCACAATGACTTGTCCTGAGATGAGCTGAGGAGTGGCCCACCTGGGGCATTCACAGTGGGAGCCCTGGGCAAGCTGGTTAGATGAAGACAGCATGGCATCACATTGCATGTCCTCACTTCTGAGAAACTGTTCACTGTAACACACACCATTGATTTAGTAACAGCTTTTCTAGAAATAAAAGACACATTGCTTGCATAATGCATATTAATTTTGAAAATGCTAATGAGAAAATATGTTATGATTTTTAATGTGATTGCTTCACCACCCCTGCCTGACTCTCAAATGAGCTTCTTGGGGGCCGGGACTGCACCCTTATTTGTTTTTGCAATCCAGGATTTACCCCCCAGAGCTCCAAGATGTCAGGAACCCCTAGAACAAACCTTCACAATCATTGGTTGGTTGTGGCATCAATTTAACAAATGCACTGCTGGCATTTTAAAAATAAAATAGGAAAGACTAAGACTAGACAGATGAGAAAAGAAAGATCAGAGTAGACTAGAGCACAAAACTAAAGAACAGAAAATGCACAGCCCATAGCGTAAGGTGCATCTACGATGCTCTTGTTTCAGTTATGCATGTGTGTGATGGGAGGTCATGTCAACATATTTCTCACTGTGGGTTGCAGTAAAACAAGTGTGTAAGCCCCTGCCTTGTTGCATGTATTTGAGCTACACTTGATCGTGAGATGAGATTGTACAAATTGGCATGTGTCACAGAAGCATAGAGCAGTGGGTGTCAGGTGTGGCCTTCGAGTCCCCACCAGGCTGGTGAGGA